TGCAATAGTCCTTACTATAGTATTAATACTTTAAGTTGGCAGCACTACCTGCTCATGGGGTTGTTATCAACTAATTTGCTTAATTCCGCGTAAAGAAAGAAAATTATGTGTCCTGCCCAATTTTAAGCGGACCTCCCACCCTCCCTCAATCGCGCGCACTATACCCGTCGCCGTTAATCCCAGCACTACCACCCCCAGCACCAGCACCAGCACACTAGGCACGACGCACCACTCTCGAAAATACGACACGTGTTTCGCCTCTATACGAGGCATCCTCAGGTGAAGTAGACTCTGCGGAGGCTGGCTGCTAAGTGAGCGGCGAGCTGAAACTACTGCTATTTATACTACTTGCTGACGCAACCGCGCTCCAATTACGTAGCGAGCGATTACGTCATGCGATCAATCACCGCCTGACGTACGCCGATATTTGCTATGAAATTAACAACAAATTACTGCGAAACGTTCGCCTACTCTACAACCGCGCAACCAAACGCTGACCACCGCACCGTGAGGGTGACAAAGGACCATGTTGCGAGGCTATATATCATCAAGGAGCAGGCTTAAACATGTTTAAGAGAGGCGAGTTGGAAAACTTAAAACTGGGCAGGACACATCATTTTCTTTCTTTACGCGGAATTAAGCAAATTAGTTTATAACAACCCCATTATAATGGATTTCCGCAAAGTAACGCCTGATTCTATCAATTATCTTAAAAAGGCTAGCACGGCCGACCAGGCAACCGGACCGGAAAGCCAGAGAACTAGCTTCAATAGTTGTTTACGAGAAATATCAAATTCAGTCCCGTAAATTACAACGACTTATATCCTCTTCATCACGTAAGCGCAATAACAACATACATACTGAATATCATCAATTTTATCCCCGAGTTAAAAATCTTTCCGATGTTCAATTTCCAACGGATGAGTTGTCACTTTTACAAAAAGACCTAAAGTATAATCTAACACCTTCGATCTCTCAAAAGTCACTAGAGACTGTGGCCGTGGACGCGGAGATGGCCGTTGTGATCGGGAAGAAAGATAACATTGTTAAAAGTCTGGTAGCGAAAGAAATTCAGGCTGTACCCGCTTCTTACCATTGCAATCCGGAGTTCCCTGTTTTTAAGTCACTAAAGCAGAGAATAAGGGACAATGATCTTATTGTTACTAAAGTCGACAAGGGCGATACTGTTGTTATTATGGATAATAGCGGGTATAGCCAAAAGGTTAACGATGTTATGCAAGGTGATGACTTTGAGCTTTTGGAGTCTACCAAAAAGTTTACTTTGAATATTAAAGTATGTATACAACAGTCATCATATATTTTTCCCGACCCCAACGTGTCTCGCAGCAGTCTTGTTCCAATGAATCCTCAAGCACCCATTTTATATGGGTTACCTAAAATACATAAAGAACATGTTCCTATTCGTCCAATTTTATCATACATAGGTGTACCAGCTTATTTCCTTGGTAAAAAGTTAAACTTCCTTCTGCGAGAGAAATCTGGATTCAAACCAACTTTAAAGCTTACAGCCTTAAAAATAGTTTAGATCTCATTTCCAAGATTAAAGATATCCGTATTCCACCTAAATCCATGTTGTTATCTTTAGACGTTGATAGTCTTTTCCCAAATGTCCCATCCCTAGACTGTTTGCGTATACTCGCAGATCTCTTTAATAAACGTCTTCTACATCCCGGGGAAACAAATGATCTTCTAAACTTAACCTCTCTCTGTATGAAACAAAACTATTTTCGGTTTAATAAACACTTCTATCTACAAAAAGAAGGGCATGGGTTCCCCTCTAAGTCCTGTTATGGCGGACATTTTTATGGATAATTTTGAAAAACAACACATATTTGTCAATCAAAATATTTTATACTATTATCGATATGTAGACGACATAATTATTTGCTGGACTGGCACAAGGAGGCAACTGGATGTTTTCCTTAATAAAATTAATAAAATCCACGACAAAATTAAATTTAAGCTAGAATTGGAACACGATTGTGTCCTTAATTTCCTCGACTTAACAATAACAAGGAAAGAGTCGTTACATGAATTTCAAATTTATCGAAAGCCAACTCATACCGACACGGTCATTCCTGCGTCATCATGTCATCCGTGGCTTCATAAATTAGCCGCTTTTAATTGTTATATTAATCGTTTGTTTACTGTACTGTTAAGTAAAGAAAATTATTTAAAAGAGCTTAATGTGATTTATCAAATTGCGGTCTCTAACAGTTATTCAAACAATATCATTGACAATGTAATAAAAAAGAAACAAAAACTTGTCGTACGCAATTCTCTGTACGCGGTTAAACCTCAAAGTGATCGTCGATATGTTGGCAGTTTGACCTACTTAGGTTTTATATCTGAAAAAATAGCTAAATACTCTTCGACAGAGTGGCGTGTACGTGGCATTCAAAACAAACAATTCACTTAGGAATATCTGTAATTATAAAGATAAGTTAGATATTCGTCAAAAGTCTGGTGTTTATAAACTTGTTTGTGACAAATGCCAAGCCGTTTACGTGGGTCAGACTGGTCGCAACTTCGAAACAAGTTATAAAGAGCATTTAGCTGCGTACAGGAATTGTAACCCCGATAAATCACATTTTGCTAAACATCTCTTAGACACTGGATACAGCCTATCCAATGACCACTCCTTTAAAGTCGTACATACTTGTAATAAAGGGCTACGACTGTGTGTGCTGGAACAGTTAGATATATTAAAAAATAATAACGGTAATGTTGCACTGCTGAATGAACAAACAAATGTTTCCAACTCGCCTCTCTTAAACATGTTTAAGCCTGCTCCTTGATGATATATAGCCTCGCAACATGGTCCTTTGTCACCCTCACGGTGCGGTGGTCAGCGTTTGGTTGCGCGGTTGTAGAGTAGGCGAACGTTTCGCAGTAATTTGTTGTTAATTTCATAGCAAATATCGGCGTACGTCAGGCGGTGATTGATCGCATGACGTAATCGCTCGCTACGTAATTGGAGCGCGGTTGCGTCAGCAAGTAGTATAAATAGCAGTAGTTTCAGCTCGCCGCTCACTTAGCAGCCAGCCTCCGCAGAGTCTACTTCACCTGAGGATGCCTCGTATAGAGGCGAAACACGTGTCGTATTTTCGAGAGTGGTGCGTCGTGCCTAGTGTGCTGGTGCTGGTGCTGGGGGTGGTAGTGCTGGAATTAACGGCGACGGGTATAGTGCGCGCGATTGAGGGAGGGTGGGAGGTCCGCTTAAAATTGGGCAGGACACATAATTTTCTTTCTTTACGCGGAATTAAGCAAATTAGTTGATAACAACCCCATGAGCAGGTAGTGCTGCCAACTTAAAGTATTAATACTATAGTAAGGACTATTGCACCAGTAGGACATAATAAAATTTTGCTTAATGGTAGACAAATGTCGTTTTTCTTTGTTCAAATTACACAAGACAAAATCGTGTTATTGAATAGTCAATATTATTGTGATCTATTTGCAAAACTATATTATTTCAAACAGCATTAATAATCTTTAATTATCTTTAATTGTTTTTAACGAAATGAAAACATCAATTTAAATTGTTTTATTGTATATAAAACATTTTAAATAGATATTTTCATTTCGTTATGATACGTTATGAAAAGAAAAGTAGGGGAATTTCGAGTATATAAAATGGTATCATCAAGACAATAATAGTGATGTTCACTGTAATCTTTAGTGTCGATGTTTTTATTTGACTATAAGTAATACCTTGATATATAATACCAAGGTGTTATTTAAAATTCTTTTTTGTACAATGTTTAAAGAAGATCTTTGGTTTTACAGTTTTGCAATAGATCCTTACAGGCGCCAAGTTTGGATAAAAGCATGTAGCAATCATATAACCTGGGTACCTAAACGAACAAGCACTATTTGTTCCGAGCATTTTAACCAATCGGTATTCGTAATCCAATCAAATAATAAAAGGAAACTAAATGAAACTACTGTACCGACCTTGAAAGTACTGGAAGTAAGTTTACTATTTTGCTATGATATATAGCCTCGCAACATGGTCGTTTGTCACCCTCACGGTGCGGTGGTCAGCGTTTGGTTGCGTGGTTATAGGGTAGGCGAACGTTTCGCAGTAGTTTGTTGTTAATTTCACAGCAATTATCGGCGTACGTCAGGCGGTGATTGATCGCATGACGTAATCGCTCGCTACGTAATTGGAGCGCAGTTGCGTCAGCAAGTAGTATAAATAGCAGTAGTTTCGGCTCGCAGCTCACTTAGCGGCCAACCTCCGCAGAGTCTACTTCACCTGAGGATGCCGCGTGTAGAGGCGAAACACGTGTCGTATTTTCGAGAGTGGTGTGTCGTGCCTAGTGTGCTGGGGCTGGGGCTGGTGCTAGTGCTGGGGGTGGTTGTGCTGGGATTAACGGCGACGGGTATAGTGCGTGCGATTGAGGGAGGGTGGGAGGTCTGGGCAGGACACATCATTTTCTTTCTTTACGCGGAATTAAGCAAATTAGTTTTTAACAACCCCATTATAATGGATTTCCGCAAAGTAACGCCTGATTCTGTCAATTAACTAGCTGCTCAGCTATATTAATCAGAATTTTCGTGATTTAATGCTTATATTAATTATTGAAATCAAAAGAAATACTTACAGATGAAAGGTGACGCCGACCTTTTGTAAATTTGAGGTATGCGATCTTTTTTTTTTTTTTACTAGAAAATACACTGCAACTCGGCATTTTTCCGGAGGTCAACTCACGCTTACGACTACTTGGTAACTGACGCCGTACGCGGCGCAACTAGTTTTATACAACGGGAATGATCCGCGCTCTCGTACTTTTGACAGCGGGGAACGCTCTCCAATGTTGTCTCCTGTTAGTTTAATACTCTAAGTGTAAAGCAGTGTACTATGAAGAATAATTATACACTGTAAGTTCAAGCTCAGAAGGGCTACAACCCAGAGCCGTAAAGCCAGTTATAAAAAAAATTGATGACAGCTGTCATTTCATTCTAATCAAGCTATATAGAAACTAGACTACTAGACTAGAATGACTAGATCAAAGAATCAAAGAATATTATAGTTTTTAATTAGATCTGTGAAATATTCACTACGTTTATAAAATTTAACACAAAATATCACACCATTATTTGATGTGCCTTTGTCATATCACTATTCGGGTAGAATCTTTTCTACTAGTTAAACTGTGATATTACTATTCTTGTGATTTGCTAAAAACCAAAGAATTTATTTGCAAAAAGATTTAAACTGTTTTAATAATTTGTGGCCCAATTATAAAACCAGAAAAGGTACATAATGGACCAATTAGTATCGCATCATATCGTATTGACCTAAATGTTATTAATAATCCTATACCATTTTCAGATGCAACTTAACGCTGATCCAAGACGTGCTGATCGTGAACGCCGCTTCAAACCTCCTCCACCAACTTCAGCGCCAGCGGAAGATCTTACTACTGACTACATGAATATTCTTGGTAAAGTTTGATTGTATATTTAGTTTTCAATTTTCATGTACATTACTACTCTTGGGTTGGGTTTAGAATCAAGTCGCCTGAATTTGAGGAGTCTGTCACTGTGGGGGGTCAAGGGGGCTTATCTCATGCAATTTTAGCTGCCGGAGCTGCGTCGAAATATTTAATATAATTTTCTAAAAATATTCATTAATCACTAATTAATACCTGAAATGGAACTTTGACATTAACAGTAATCAGTAACAGATATACTTGACCAAAGAGAATATAATCACCACATTTATACTCGACTTTGCGACTCGTGTCATAAGCGTCATTCTGTTGCTTCTGAGTTTATGTGAATGTGGTCCTTATTGTTATTATCTGCCGAAGAGATCTAAGGTGTGGAGACCGATTGATTGCTATTTCACGACGTTTTTGGAAATGGTGGAAGTTATAAAATATGTTTACTTATTAAAGTAATTATAAGAGTTAACATTTTGGTGTTTTATTTGGTGCAAGAGCGAGTGAAGCGAACTCGGGATTTGGAGCACCCTGACTTGGACAGGTTAGGTTGGAAGGGGATGGGGGGTCGAGTGAGCGAGCGAACAGACCCCTCCATCCTCTCCGTGGTTATTGTTTTATAAACTATCAAGAAATAGGAGCCCCGCAAAGTGTCGACCGAGCTTCCCTCGACTGCGCTATGTTGAGTGGCGTTGGGCTAACCTTCCCCAACTCTCTGCCCCCACAAATCAGGTTTATATTGTCAAATACATTACGAAAACATAACCTCAAAATGAGATTTTTAAAAATTTATAAAATAAAACTAAGCACATCTGGCAGGAAATGGAAGTGGGTGGTAACTCTACAACTCCCCTCCCCCCACCACCCCCAACCCCAAATTCAGGCGACTTGATTCTAAACTTCTTACCCCTACTCTTATTTTGTAGTTACCACATATCAAACATAACAAAAACAAGAAAAAACAGTTGACGCAATGAAGTGTTTAGCTATATTCATAGGTTGAGAATTAATTTATCAGGTCTACCTGATATTTATTTAAATAACATTTCAATACATGATACATATGAACATGATCTATATAATGAACTGGAGTATGTGTTACTGAAATTACCACCAGTCTTTTCCACTTTACTATCTCAAATATCTGAAAACTTTCTTCTTTTAAGAGCAAACTTATGCTTGTGTAATCCATGCAAGACAAAAACCAGGCGCACATTATAAGAAATTATCTGTTACAGAATTTCTAACGTGCAACTGACAATCATCTGCAAGGCAAAATACCACTAAAACAAGTGGTAAAATCAAAAATTTTGTACAACTCACTTCAATATAAATATAAATTAATGTTTATTTTTTTTAAACCGTGTGACATATTTTAATATAGTTTAAATGGCCACATGGTTTAAACGGCCAGCATCCGCAGAGTCTACTTCACCTGAGGATGCCTCGTGTAGAGGCGAAACACGTGTCGTATTTTCGAGAGTGGTGTGTCGTGCCTAGTGTGGTAGTGCTGGGAGTGGTAGTGCTGGGATTAACGGCGACGGGTATTGTGCGCGCGATTGATGGAGGGTGGGAGGTCCCCTTAAAACTAGGCAGGACACATCATTTTCTTTCATTACGCAGAATTAAGCAAATTAGTTTATAACAACCCCATTAAGCTTAACTCAGGTTGAGTTACTTTTTCTATGTGCATAATTTTTAAATTTTATTAAAAGTATTATGTTACAAAACTAAAAGCTTCAAATGTTCAAATTAGAAGTAGTCTAGAGTTATAAAAAGTTATTAACTGTATATATATTTATAATACTCTTTACAGGAATGATTTTCTCAATGTGCGGTCTAATGATGAGGCTTAAATGGTGTGCTTGGACAGCTGTATTCTGTTCAAGTATCAGTTTTGCTAACTCAAGAGTTTCAGATGATACAAAACAGGTAATACAAGAAGTTAAAACAATGTGTTTGATAATTAATTTTTGTACTTAAGTACAGCTGCTGCTTGGTCATCAGTGGTGAACAAGGAGGAACTCACTTGGCTGGCCCAAGGTGTAAGGTTGGCCCCAAGTAGTTACTCCAAGTGGGCTTACCTAGCCCACTCTGTGTGCGCATTTGTGGACTGTGGCAGGAGGGATGTATTGTCCCCCTGTCCTTTTTCCCACTGCAGCCGACTGGTCCTCCGTAACACTAGCGGAGCCATACTGTCGATGCGGGGCTGGTGGCGCCGCAGGGAGAGAGGAGTGTCAGTCAGCATACGCCGTTCCCTCTACCCTCCACGGCCAAATCCTTTTTTTTTATAGAATAAGAGTGACAAGCTAGTACACAGCCCACCTGATGGTTTTTATTATAGGATAAGGGTGACAAAGGAGCACACAGTCCACCTGATGGTAAGTGGCTGCTGTGGTCCATAGACATCTACATCTATCCTCGAAGTCACCTCTGAAGACTAAGATGCATTGCCTCATATCCAGTATAAAGGGTATCTGGTTCTCTACATGAAACAGCAGCAATGAGCTGCTATTTCATACATTTGTGCTACAGCCATAATCACACATAAAACTTGAAAATGGAACAATAGACCAGATCAGCCGCTGTAGTCGCAAAGGTTGGTGCTTCAGAGTAATTGATTTTCCTAACCCCGTGGCCTTCGTGTAATGGGCTCGAGAGGTTTAACTGCGTACCGACGCACCCTCCCACCTAGGAGGGGCTGCTACGGGGCGGGCAACATTGGTGGTGCCGCGGATGTGTACGAAAACAATCCCTTGGCCCTGCAAATATGCAGCAAAAGTGGAACACCATGGGATTTTAGTCAGTGCGTGTCCGACATAACCCGTCTTGGCCCCGCGGGGCGGGTATGCGTAGACATTTCCCATGTAAAAAAAAGTACTGGCTCTACAACGTAAACATATTACTTTATAAATTATTTGTTTACGACATACCTTTGTAAATAAACATATTTAAAATTTTTTTTCAGATTGTTAGTTCATTTATGCTTTCCATATCAGCTGTTGTGATGTCATACTTACAAAATCCTGCACCAATGTCTTCACCATGGGCTGCTCTAACAACTTAGTTTTGCAATACATAATAACAAAATATAAATTATCATTTCATTGTAAATAAATATGTTATAAATTATAAATTTTTATTAAATGTCTTTCTGTTCAATATACCTTTAAAACTTAAACCAAAGTATTAAACCAGTATAACATCATCATATTATTATGATGTCGAATCTACGGTTGATCTACCTACATAAAGGTTTTTCCTAAAAAATTAAGTCACTTCAAAAAATAATGTTTCTTTTTGTTATAGGATAGGGATGTTCTCATTATAACCATATAGTGGTGTTATTAGAATATTATATCGTCCCGTGGGTGTCGTAAGAGGCGGCTGAGGGAAACGAACCATGAGGTTGCCAGTATCGCCTGCTTCATAACAACTACAAAATAAAAATGTCCCACCTTTCAAGCGTGACAACTACACATAGCAATCATTACTCAATAAGCAACGACAAAGAAACTGCCCGCAGGGGACTGCCCCTGCGGTCAGTTTCTTTGACGAGCGGTCAGAGGATGCTAAGAATCTCCGGTGGAGGTTCGGTCGGCACTTTTGACGAATCTGACGAGAACATCCTGGAGTTGACAAAAAATAGATAAGTGTTGGGATATGATCGGATTTTTTGAAATCCGAAGAGAGGGTAGGACACGGTAATCCTCGAATTCGGCAACTTGTTTTATCTCGGGGAGGGCGACCATCTGTCCCAATGGGGTATCGGATTTACTATCTACTAGTCTCGTAGCTCTTATTCGTATATTTAAAGATAAAGAACGTGCCTGGATAAAATGGAAGAAATCTGGTAACATTTCCGATTATATAAAGTTCTGGTTCGGCTTTGGTTGGAGATAAAAGAATTCGGTTGAAGATAGTATACCTATTAATATTAACAATTTTTGAAAATATATATATCTAATCGAAAAGCTCGACGGATTGAACTCGGCTGGGTAACGTTCGGGAGATTACGACACATCTTCGCGTCAGGTATACCTCAAAACTTGAAAATGAGACTGTACAACCAGTGTGTGTTGCCAGTGATGACCTATGGTACTGAGACGTGGTCCTTCACTGCTGGCCGGATGAGGAAGCTCAAAGTCGCTCAGCGATAGTGTTGCCCAAATGCAAGAACAAGACGAGACTTAGCAAGTCTTGGTCTTGGTCTTGCGCCAATACACCTGGTCTTGGTCTTGGTATTGCGCTCCAAGTCTTGGTCTTGGTCTTGCAGCAAGAGTCTCGCAAGTCTCGCAATGACCTATTAGCCTATTACTATTTATTAAACTACTTTAGATCTTAGAACAACTTAACAGAGTAGGTAAATATTGAGCTTGAATTAACATAGCCATAGTAAAGACCAACCGTATTAATAAATGTCTAAACATTTAATGAGAAATTCGAAAAATCAACTGACACCGGGTGGGGTTTGAACCCACGACCTAAGCGGTCCGTGTCGATGCTCTAACCAACTGAGCTATCTACCGTGTCCCACGGCCATGGGCGTCAGTTTCTTAATAAACGTTTACATTTAATAAACTTACATGTGCTAAAACATGGTTAAACATACATATAAAAACAAATTAATGGCAATAACTCCACTGTATTTTAAATAAAATTATCTCTCTAGAAAGAGATTGATGGACCCTCACCATATATGAAATGGAATAAAAGATTTATACAATATTATATACCATTATTTAAATAAAAATAAAATACTATATATTAATAAATATTTATTTAAATAAAAAATAAAATACGATGCAAATTAAATTACTTCACAGTATGTACACAACAGCTTTGACATTACTGTTAGGTACTTTATATTTATTCTTTTGACAAAGCATTAATACAAAGTAACCATCTGGCTGACTCATCACTTAACCTATTTCTATGTTTTCTAATTACTAATGATGCTTTAGAAAATAATCTCTCAGCAGATACTTTTAAGTAAGTTTTAAAAGAATTAAACAGTATTAAAAGAAAATCACGGGCCATCTTCGATAAAATCGGATATTTTGTCTCATGCGTCCTCCAACAGTCTAAAATGTCTTCCGAGATGACGGCTCTGGGTTTACCTAGGTACCCCTCCAACTCCTTAATAACTAAGCCTTGCAGACAAGATCCAGATCCATTTTTACACATTTCAAGTGTTTTAAAAGTGCTATGGTGTCAACCATATTTATCAAATGTGTGACGACATATTCGAGCACTTTGTGTTTTAAAAACACACACTTACAAAAGTCAAGATTTGCAGTGAACTTACTGAACATGTTTATCTTTTAGGTAATAATAATAACAATAATAGTAAGTAATTATTATAAATCCATATAGTTAATTTTATAATAATTACTTACTAGAATAAATTATAATGATACCTACCTATTATCTAATTACAATATTTCTTGAGAGATCAGGATAATGTATTCGTGTCCATTCTGAGCACCCGGAAACTTATTTTATTCTTTGAAACATGTACTCTGTGGCGGCAATCAAATAGTGTCAAATGTAGTGCGTGTGGCGCAGCGGCGACGATTGTATGCGATATCAATAGTAGCCGCCGGCACGTGTATCTTGACCTTGTACTTTCGAATAGCTGCACAATTTCTTTGACAGGTCAGTATCCGACCTTTGATGACGCCGACAACAAGACGCCGCGCACTATCAAAGTGCCGATGGTCAAAACTAGGGATACACTCTTTTTTCTTTTAATGGATATTTTCATTCGCTATGTATATTTATGGTATTGTTCGTAATGCGCATAAGTCCAATTTTCCAATTTTTTTTTTCATTATATTTTTTGCGTCTCATAGAGTCCCTAAGCGTATACCCGAACTCCTATACTCCCTGAAACGACACTTAGTCCTAACTGCAAGACGCAAGTCTCGCAAGCTAAGTCTTGTTCTTGCGCAAATCTTGCACGGTCAGTCTTGGTCTTGGTCTTGCTAAAAAGAGGCGGTCTTGTTCTTGGTCTTGGTCTTGCAAAAATGCAAGAACAAGACCAAGACTGCAAGACCAAGACCGATTTTGGGCAACACTACTCAGCGAGCTATGGAGAGGGCTATGCTCGGAGTTTCGCAGTAGAACCAGAGTGACCGACATAGCCCATCAGATTAGTAAGCTGAAGTGGCAATGGGCCGGCCATATAGTTCGAAGAACCGACAACCGATGGGGAAAAAAGGGTCTCGAGTGGCGGCGTCGTACCGGCAGACGAAGTGTAGGGCGTCCCCCCACTAGATGGAGTGACTAAATGTTAAGACATGCAGGAAGTCGGTGGATGCAGGTGGCTCAGTGCCGTGATTTGTGGTATTCCGTCCTGTATAGGACAGTTACTATACTCTTTGGTGCAATACTAAGGCCCCAACACCGAAACCTGCTAAACCCTATGGTTTACGAGGTTTATTTATGTTGTTGAGATTGGTTGGTGGTCAGAAAGCAGTTTTTGGGCGTAGCTTTTATTTAGGCTAATATCGCTGTTATTCCTTAAAAGTTCCGGTAGATATTAGACTGAACTTTTTGAATCGTATAAAAAGTCAATTTTGCCAAAAATTGACTAAGCAGGTTAACGAATTAGGCCGACGAAATGTGTACATAAAGGCATTTTTCCAAATATTTGGAAACGCCCTTTCATTAATCCGGTGTATTAAAGTGGCGATAAAAATAATATTGAGATTTATAGACCCATTTAAAAATTGTCCACCTTGTCAAAGGTAAGTACGTAATATTTTATATCCAATTATGCATCATGTTATAATATCTCAACAACATGGATTTATTCAACGCCGTTTCACTACTACTAATCTATTAACATTTACAAATTTTGATTCGAAAACATGTATAACAAAGTGCAAACTGATGTATACCCTGACTTTCAGAAGGCTTTTGATAAGGAGGATCATAAATTACTTATGGATAAAATAAAATAGCATTTAATTAACATTCTTGGTCAGAGGAGTAGCGTAGACTAATATAGACATGGGCGAAGTCGCATCAGCGAGGCGCCTTTTCTGTCGTTTACAAGATCTATCCTACCCAGGGCCGGATTAGAGGTTATTATCTAAACAGTACTGAGAAAATCTGTCAAGGTCTTTTTGATTGATTAAAACACTATAAACTACTAAGTTTGGAATCTAGACGATCGCTTGTTATGGGCCATGATGCTGCATGGGTTGTGTAATAACAGGTTTGACTGTAGTTATATCACCAATAAGTTATATAATATATTGTACCAATAACTGTAACTCTAACGTATTAAACATATGACTAAGCATATAATATGACTGTGGGAAATGGTGTAGGTTACATTACACGTTAAGTACTCCTTTATAAATTAACTGTCTTGTATAATATTAATGTGTCACTGTTTTTTGTCCCAAAAATAAAATGAAAAAACAACGCTGTAAAATTGGGATTGCGTCGGCAAGGTTTGCGTGTCTTTTACTCAGAATCACCAAACGGTATTCGTCGAAGATCAGACAGGTTTACGAACCAACCTTGTAACATCGTGATCAGGAGGTTGAGGAGATTTATAAGTATATTTCTAAAACCATACATTTCTCCAAAACCCACTATTCGGTGTTGATGGAAACAAACAAAACTAGGCACAAGAAACGACGATGAACTATGAAGGCAGGGATAGGGTACCTAATAGGGCAATGAAACCCAAGAAGTTTCAATATCTGGCCGAGTTCATGGAGTGGCCACTTCAAGTAAGATGTTATAATAATCCTATATTATAACATCTTACTTGAAGTGGCCTCGGTGTATCTCGGTGATCGCGACGATGAAAACTTGTAGCGATCACCGTATGGTGAGGCACACTAAACCTTAACGTTAACATGGGATGGTCGCGTCGTAAAGGATTTAGTAGTAGTAGTACAGAACTGGTTCCGTACTCGGTTATTCTGTACTCGGATAACCACCGTACGTTTAAGGTTATTTATTTTATAGCTATATTTATATAGACTTCGTAATTAAGATATTCACAGTAGAACCAGCGATTGTCGCGCGAATGTCAATTAGGACACCTATTCGACAGCAATATGTTTGTTCGCGCGTTCGTACAAACTAAGTTCGCGCAAATAGATTTTCAAGCAATG